CAGGTACCTGTGATCCAATCAGAACTCTCCCATGCCCCGTAGTGCACACCTCCAGATTAATATGAAACAGGTACCATGGTCCAATCAGGACACTCCAGGCCAGAGCAGTTTACACCCACCAGATTAATACCACACAGGTACGGGTGGTCCAATCAGAACCACACTCCAGGCCCCATAAGTGCACACCCCACCAGATTAATATGACACTGTCATGGAACACACGCCCACGGCTCTGAGAAGCAATCTAGCACATGGCACACCCGTCTAGGATCCTCCAGCTATCCTACAAGCTAGAACCCCGGTGTTAATCACTCTTCCACTATCCACACACCCCCACACCAGACACACCAGACACAGTAGCTTGCCACCACCCAACAGTTTGTTCCACAAGACTGGTCTGCTGGGCCACCACACACACACAGATCTCCGTTTAGCAAGATCTGCTACTTTTACAATCTGCATGCAATCTGCCAACACACAGTACAATTGCATACAGATTTTCAATGAACTTAGACCGAGCACATAGACACTACAATACAACAATCTCTCCGGAGATATGAGCCCGAGCTTAGTGCACAGAAGTCACTTATTAATTTTAGATTTATTATCCTGGAAGTGAGCGGTGCATAAAATATATATACAAAGAAAAGGAATTACAAAAAAGACAAGAAGAGACCCACAGAGTTGGCTATTCACTAGGAAAATAAAAGGGATAAAAACAGAAATAAACTTTATCGAGGTTTATCCTGTGACAGAAGCATGTCAGAATTGTCTGCAATTCCCCAATTGTACCGGTTCCATAGGAATCACCCCGTCCATATCTCAGGCTCCTCAATTTATTGAAATTTGAATGTGGTGGGGACTTTAGCCCCTTGTCCAATCAACCCTGGGGATGTTTCTGTATCAGCCTACAGGGCGTTCTGTGTTCTGAAGTGACCTGGATCCAATGGGCCAGGAATGACTCTGATCGTTGGGTCAGAGATAGGATTTTTGACACCACGCATCAGTCCGATCGTGACAGTACCAATCACTGTTCAGCTGTCACAATCAGAGTGCCATTTTTGTGTGTTTCCCTGGATTCTACAGAGGATACATATTCAGTTTTATATAATGGACATGGAGCCTAAAATGTGTCCAATCAGAAGTATTTTTATCTCTCTGCAACTAATATTTTAGCTTTTATGAGAGATGAAAATAGATTCCTCTGATCTGTTGGTATAAATCAGAGCTGGCAGACATTTTGGAGCCTTCTCCTGATCAGGCTACAGCTCTTGTTTCAGGTTCAGGAAGGTGAGAAATCCATGTCTACACATGGATGAGTTTCTATTGGCATCTCGTGTCTCTCCTGGCCTAGAAGCTGCTCTGTCCTTTCACATGCTAATTGGTGACCATATGTCTCTGACTGATTACTGAATACTGTAAAAACTGTCTACAACATCCTTCTAAACACGGAATGAAACTAGATCTACAATCACATCCTTCTCTACAGATCACATCACATCTCAGCTACTGGCAGAACTACCCGACTCCCACATTTATGTTACAATATATTTCTATATCATTATCATATCTCCTCTGAAGGATCTCGTCTCCAAGGAGAACACATGTCATGTTTGTAGTCATTCATCCTCATAACTGAGGTCTTCCAATCAGTCAGAAATTCTCCGATCAGTCACAATGTAAGGGACCACTGCTCTGACCACTGATAGAAGGGAATTCTCCCATTGGTCCCTAATGTAAAGAACCAATAATTTAACCTCTGATGTAAGGGGATCCTTCTCCCATTGGTCACCAAAGTAAGGGACCACTACACTGACCACTGATATAAGGGGTCCTTCTCCCATTGGTCACCAATGTAGGGGACCATTGCACTGACCACTGATATAAGGGGTCCTTTTCCCCCGCATTGGTCACCAATGTAAGAGACCACTATACTGACCACTGATATAAGAGGGTCCTTCTCCCATTGGTCACCAAAGTAAGGGACCACTACATTGACCACTGATATAAGGGGGTCCTTCTCCCATTGGTCACCAATGTCAGGGACCACTACACTGACCACTGATATAATGGGGTCCTTCTCCCATCGGTCACCAATGTAGGGGACCATTGCACTGACCACTGATATAAGGGGTCCTTTTCCCATTGGTCACCAATGTAAGGGACCACTACACTGACCACTGATATAAGCGGGGTCCTTCTCCCATTGGTCACCAATGTAAAGGGACAAATACATTGACCACTGATATAAGGGGATCCTTCTCCCATTGGTCACCAATGTAAGGGACCACTACACTGACCACTGATATAAGGGTCCTTCTCCCATTGGTCACCAATGTAAGGGACCACTACACTGACCACTGATATAAGGGGTCCTTCTCCCCATTGGTCACCAATGTAAGGGACAAATACAATGACCACTTGGGATGATCTCTGGGTTTAGTTGTCGGAGAGTAGGGATGAGACGACGACAGTACAAACCAAACTTTGCCTGTTCCGGTCCCGTGTTTTGCAGGAGCCGATCATCACATATAGAAGAGACATTTCTACCACTTCTATATATAACAGCTTCCCGCTGTCACTGGTGCCTGAGGAAGACATGGATGGGTACAGCGGCCACACCCCCAGGAATCAGTGATGTCATTGGGAATCCCTGACCATGTAAGGAAGGGGGCGGGGATAGCAGTGACATCACTGACCAAATATGGTCACACTGGTCACATTTGGTAATAAGGTCCCACCATCCCTGTCCCTTCACTTATGTAGATGATGACAGTTTAGGGAGCTGTCATTGGGCTGGTGCTATTGTCGGGTACTATATACCCCACACTCATTCACATGGGGGACGGTATATGGGGGGCCCCTTGTTTTATTAAAGGGGGTTTCCAGAATCCAATATGACCCCCACCCACAGATCCCCACAGCCACCCAGCCAAGGTGCTATGCCTGGGGGAATCCCCCCTGGTAAGGTGACCCCCATGTTGTGGACATGTGGCCTGGTATGGATCAGGAGGGGGGCACACACTACAGCCCCCTCTGCACTCTGTATGGGGGGCTGTATATGATATACTGCTGACCCCACCCCGCACTCTGCAACCGTTATTGAAGGGTGTGAGGAGGTGTCACCCGAGGAGCAATGTTCTATATTGAAGTTTGCCGTCATTGCACCGACACACACAATAGTTTTTGTTCAATAAATGTTTTATTATAATTTTACATTTAACAAGATTGAAGCATAAAAATCAGGAAATAACAAAGGAAGGAATCCGATTGGTCAGGAAGATCCCTTGTCTGGAATGTGGGGGCGGAGTCATTATTATTGGTGTACAATACAATACACAACGTGTTCCATTATTATAACAAAGTATTGTAGAAAAGATCCCAACATAGAAAATGGGGGAAAGGAGGAAATAAAGGCGGATATGAAGGGGAATCTGTGTACGGGGAACACCTTAACAATCACCACCATTTTATTCTCCAGGGCCTCTGATGTCACAGAATAGATGTTTGGGGGTTTATCTCATCTTCAGGACCAAAATCTGCATTTTCCCATGTGTGCAAAATCATGCAGAAAACAGCTCTGGCAGTGAGAGGGTTAATGTGGGCTAGATGGGATCCCTCTGCTGGGGTGACATTAGAGCTCCCCCTAGCTGCAGCCTGGTAATAACATTGCTGGGAGGTCTATTCATTTCTCTGCTCCATACTTCCCGTCTTTATAGAAACGTCTCCTGACATTTGGGGTCTATTCATAGAATGTTTGTATAGCAATTCCCTCAGTGAGAGTTCATGTCCATTCCTCCTGTGTGAATGGGGGAACCAATGTTATTAGGATCACATCTGAGCTGCTGGAATGTCTTCCATTGATGGAAAATACATTGAAAACTTCTCCTGCTATCAAACATTTCCTGCACTCAGGCAGGAATATGCCTTCTTTTCCGTGTGAGATTTTATGATCTGTTGAAAAATTGTACTTTTGTGAAAAACATTTCCCACACTAAGAACAGGAATACGGCTTCTCCCCCGTGTGAGATTTCTGATGTCTGCAAAGTTTGGCTTTACTTGAAAAACTTTCCCCGCACTCAGGACAGATATACATGGTTTCTTCTCCCCCGTGTGAGATCTCTGATGTGTGGAAAGATTGTACTTCTGGTAAAAACACATTTCCCGCACTCAGGAACAGGAATACGGCTTCTTCCCCATGTGAGATTTCTGATGTGTGTAAACACTGGACTGATACAAAAAAAACATTTTCCACACTCAGGACAGGAATACAGCTTCTCTCCTGTGTGAGATCTCTGATGATTGGAAAGATGGGACTTATTGTGAAAAACATTTTCCGCACTCAGAACAGGAATATGGTTTTTCTCCTGTGTGAAGCCTTAGATGTGTGACAAGATGTGATTTTTGTAAACAACATTTCCCACATTCAGGACAGGAATATTTTTTTCTTCTGTATGATGTTGTTCTATGATGTATTTGTAGGTAGGATTTTCGTGAAAAACATTTTTGGCACTGAGGGCAGGAAAAATGGCTTCTCTCCTGTGTGAGATCTCTGATGTGCGTAAAGATTGGATGTCACTGAAAAAACATTTCCCGCACTCAGGACAGGAATAAGGCTTCTCCCCTCGTGTGAGATCTTTGATGTCTGCAAAGGCTAGACTTCACTGAAAAACATTTCCCACACTCACTACAGGAATATGGCTTCTCCCCCGTGTGAGATCGCTGATGTTTGCAAAGGCTAGACTTCACTGAAAAACATTTCCCACACTCACTACAGGAATATGGCTTCTCCCCCGTGTGAGATCGCTGATGGTTGTAAAGGCTAGACTTCACTAAAAAACATTTTCCCACACTCAGCACAGGAATATGGCTTTTCTCCCCCGTATGAGATCGCTGATGTTTGCAAAAGCTAGACTTTACTGAAAAACATTTCCCGCACTCAGGACAGAAATATGGCTTCTCCCCCGTGTGAGATTGCTGATGTTTGTAAAGGCTAGACTTCACTGAAAAACATTTCCCGCACTCAATACAGGAATATGGCTTCTCCCCTGTGTGAGATCGCTGATGTTTGTAAAGATTTGACGTCATTGAAAAAACATTTCCCACACTCAGGACAGGAATATGGCTTCTCTCCCCGTGTGAGTTCTTTTGTGCACATGAAGACTGAATTTAGCACGAAAACATTTCCCACACTCAGGACAGGAATATGGCTTTTCTCCTGTGTGAGATCTTTGATGTTGCAAAGATTAATTTTTATTGCAAAACATTTCCCACAGTCAGAACAGGAATACGGCTTTCTCCCCTGTGTGAGATCTCTGATGTAGGGAAAGCTTTGACTTCTTCTTTGAAAAAAACATTTCCCGCACTCAGAACAGGAATATGGCTTTTCCCCCGTGTGAGATCTCTGATGTGTATAAAGGTCGTACTTCTTTGAAAAACATTTCCCACACTTAGAACAGGAATACAACTTCTCCCCTGTGTGCCAGCTCTGATGTTTGTGAAGATAAGACTTACTTGAAAAAACATTTCCCGCACTCAGTACAGGAAATACGGCTTCTCCCCCGTGTGAGATCTCTGATGGCTGTAAAGATGGGACTTACATGAAAAACATTTCCCGCACTCAGGACAGGAATACGGCTTCTCTCCCGTGTGAGATCTTTTATGCCCATTAAGGATTTAGAATGGAAACCCTTCCCACACTCAGTACAGGAGAACCTCTTCCCTGTTGGAAGGCCGGCCCGGTCCCGCACAGTCTGAGGTTCCTCAGGATACGAGGAATCCGATGGTCCATCTACACTGGGTGGTGCCGGATGGACATTGGAGGGAGCCGGGTTTTCTCCTGGACTATACTGTGTGATGTCCTCATCTTCTACTTTCCAGTCTGGAGACAAAGTGAGACAATCCTCGGAGGTTTTCCTCATCTCCCGGCCATGGACTAAAATACAAAGACAAAGAGGATTACTAGACAGGAGCTGATTGGTTCCCCCAAACCAGGACTCCGCCCACATCAGGCAGCTTGGTCTCTGAGGAGCTTACAATTCCACCCTCAAGGGAACTAGGAAATGGCTCCTCTGATCTCCTACCAGGTCATTTCTTTATTCATGGACCTTAGTCAGAGAGTGAGGAAACAACCAGAACTGTCTTTTATAGGAGGGACAGTGATGAGGGGATTATAGGACGAGGGTCCCCACCCCCTCTATCACTCATCGCCATCTTCCCAACACAAGAAGTACTGCACTTCCTTATTTAGTCCATGATTTAGTCATGAAGAACAGCGGGGGCTGAGCCCCACCAGAGGTCAGAGAGTGATGATGGGGGGAGAACAACCAAGATGAAGACTGGACTGATCCTGAAGACCACCATCATTGGGGTATTGACTCCTTCCTCATTATTATTATTATACAGGATTTATAGCGCCAACAGTTTGCTCAGCGCTTTACAATATAATGGGAGACAATACAGCAACAATACAGTTCAATGCAAGAGAGATAGGAGAGCCCTGCTCCTTGGAGCTTACAATCTAGGAGGGAGGGGCTAGTGGTACAAAAGATAGTAACTGTGGGGGATGGACCGGTAGGAGGAGTAGAAGATTCCAGTATTAGCTGAGGGCAGGATATGCTTCCCTGAAGAGAGAGGTTTTCAGCGATCACCTAAAAGTGAGCAGAGTAGGTGATAGTCTGATAAATTAGGGTAGAGAGTTCCAGAGGATGGGAGAAGCTCTGGAGAAGTCCTGGAGACGAACATGGGAGGAGGAGACAAGGGAACTAGAGAGCAGGAGGTCTTGCGAGGAGCGGAGAGGACGGTTTGGGTGATATTTAGAGACAAGATCGGTGATGTAATTTGGGGCAGAGTTATAAATGGCTTTATATGTTATTGTTAGTGGTTTGAATTTTATCTGTTGGGCAATAGGAGGCCAGTGGAGGGATTTGCAGAGGGGGGTGGAGAACAGTGGAGGGATTGGCAGAGAGGGGTGGAGGACACTGAATGGAGGCCAGTGGAGGGAATGGCAGAGAGGGGTGGAGGACACTGAATGGAGGCCAGTGGAGGGATTGGCAGAGAGGGGTGGAGGACACTGAATGGAGGCCAGTGGAGGGATTGGCAGAGAGGGGTGGCAGATACAGAATGGTTAGTAAGGTGGATGAGTCTGGCAGCAGCATTCATGATAGACTGAAGAGGGGATAGCCTGCGATGAGGTCGGCCAATGAGGAGGGAGTTACAATAGACAAGGTGAGATATAACAAGGGAGTGTTGCTTAGTGGTTTCCGAGGTTAGGAACGGGCGTATCTTGGAGATGTTGCGGAGGTGAAGTCTACAAGATTTGGACAGTGATTGGATTTGGTGGTGAAAGGACAGATGGGAGTCTAGAATTACACCTAGTACCCTGGCATGAGGGGAGGGACTGATGGTTGTTTTATTGATCTTGATGGAGAAGTCAGGGGAGGGGGCGCAGGCTGGGGGGAATACTAAAAGCTCAGTTTTGGAAAGATTGAGTTTGAAGAAGTGGAGTGACATCCATGCCGATATGTCACTTAGTAGGTTGGTAATGTGAGAGGAGACTGAAGGGGTGAGGTGAGGAGGAGACTGAAGAGGTGAGGTGAGGAGGAGACTGAAGGGGTGAGGTGAGGGGTAGAAAGATAGATTTGTCATCAGCATAGAGATGGTTGTAACAAGTGTACACACAAGGATGCAGCCTCCATTTTGTTAAGCGTAGCCATGTTATTCCCTCATTCCTCCTCCTCTCTCTCTGAAAGGCACAGCGACATTTGGCCAGTATGTGTGTGTGTTAGGAATGTCACAGGAGGGTCATAGGAGCTATAAAGCCCCCCAAGGGAGCCAGAGCATCCCTGTCCAAAGAACCTGCAAATTGTAACACCTCGTAAGAGATAAGGCAAGCTTTCCCAGGAGTTGAAAGAGATTCCAACCTAATAAACCTAACTCAGCGTAGGTGACAGAACCAGATAACCTTTTTAAGAATCTATTTTTTTCCTATGTCCTATATCTCGGAATATGAGAGACTTACATAAAAACCAGACATATCGTCAAATTGGCTAAGAAAAGATGAACAATTTGATGGGTCACTTGCCTTGTCTCGAATACATAGAAAAGCAGAAAAGTAGATCTCGTGAACCATTCAGTATAGAATTACATATTTCATATCTAATCATTCCTCAGACGTGTCTGCATAATAATCGACCCGCGGGTGGAATGTCACTCGTGCATAGGAAATGTTATGAGCCCAAATATGAACTAAATGAGATTTTGGCTCTAGTTTAGGTCGACACCCAGACATCCACGCCCTACACGGGGTATTGGTCCTTGACGTCAGAGACACCCCCTGCTGGGGAACTACAAATTGGGCTGTCAGGCCTAAGAAAGCTAAGTTGAAGAATTCTCCCATTGAAACAGGGAGATCAAAGCACCCTTCTGCTCGGAAACTTGATCTGCTTAAATCCAAGGCTTAATGGCAAGTACCTTAACCCGTTAACCTCTCCCTGTTATCTCTTTGCTATGCTGTTCTCTGTATATATATATTAGTTAGATCTTTTTCTGTAAATATTTTATTGCACCCATTTGACCTTTTAGTAATAAATCTTTCCTTCTGAAAGTGTTGAACTGTTTCTACAGCTCTTTATTGCAATTTACGAATTCCTGCCTCTAAAAGGGCGCTACCGTGTTTGTTTCACCCTCTGTATAACCGGCCTGTGGTGACTGTGTTATGCAGACGATTATTTCAATCATTATAGTGTTATAGCTGATATCGCTGAGTTTCCTCTTTCTCTGTATAAAAAGGAGGGTGGTGGCAGTGTGAAGGGCTAATTGCGTAATTAACCTGACCCAGTAACAATAGCTCAGGCTGCCGGTACATAGATTGTGGTCCAATTAGCAGGAAAATCGTTGTGCAGGGTGCAGCTGGGTGTGGCATTGTTACGCACGTGACATCACGGTTTTAGATTGGCTAGTCCTTCAGTCACGAGTTTGGTGAGAAGGGCTGGGGTCTGATGCCGCGCTCGTCACATATTGGACGTCGTGATCGTGCGATCTTGCGTCCGTGACAATGGTACTTAAAGCCATGGGAGTTTATCAAGTGACCAAGGGAGGAGGTGTAGATGGAGAAGAGAAGGGGACCAAGGACAGAACCTTGAGGGACCCCTACAGAAAGAGGGATGTGAAGAGGAGGAGGCAGCATTATAGGTAACACTGAAGGAGCGCTGCGATAGGTAGGAGGAGAACCAGGAGAGTCTGAAGCTAAGAGAGTGGAGTTTTTTGAGGAGGAGGGGATGGTCAACCATATCAAAAGCCGCAGAGAGGTCAAGTAGTAAGAGTATGGAGTAGTGGCCATTGGTTGGGAGGAGTATGGAGTAGTGGCCATTGGTTGGGATGAGTATGGAGTAGTGGCCATTGGTTTTAGCAGTTAGTAGATTAGTGAGTTTTAGTAGGGCAGTTTGAGTGGAGTGAGCAAAAGCTAGGGTTCACTGGCGATTGTAGACTAAGCGTTCTAGGAGTTTAGAGGTAAATGGCAGCAGAGAGATGGGTCTTAAGTTATTAAGGTTGTTGGGGTCCAGGGAGGGCTTTTAAGGTATAGGAGTGATGTGCGCTTGCTTTAGAGGGGAGGGGAAGGAGATTGAAGATGTGAGTGAGGGAGCATTGGATGGAAGAAGTGGGTGACCGTAGTAGTTGTGAGGGGACAGGATCCAGGGGGCAGGTAGTGAGACGGGCTTCTGAGAAAACCTTAGTGACCTCTTCGGTAGTAGCGAGGTCAGAAGAGGAAAGTGTTGAGGGAGGTTTAATATAAGGTTTGCTAAGTGGGATGGATGTCTGTGCAGTGGAGATGCCTCTATGAATTGCATCAATCTTGTTTTTGAAATGATTTGCAATCTCATAAGCAGTGAGTGATGTACTCGGTGGAGGTGGAGAAAGTAGAGAGTTAAAAGTAGAGAAGAGACGATGAGGACTGGATGACAAGGTATTAATAAGAGTGACAAAGTAGGCTTGTTTGGCAGCATGGAGGGAGGAATTGTATGTGAAGAAAACAGATTTATATCGGGTGAATACTTGTTGGGATTTGGTTTTACGCCACAATCGCTCCAGCGCACGACTATGTCATTTAAGATTTCTGGTGTGGTCAGTCTGCCAAGGCTGTAATGGTCGGGGGGCCGGATGCTTCGTGTTGTTAGAGGAGCAAGTGAGTCCAGTGCGGATGAAAGCGAACTGTTATAGACAGCAGTGGCCAGGTCAGGGCAGGACAGGGGAGAGATTCTGTCATAGAGTTGGTCAGTTGCAGAGTGGAAAGGAGCCGGGTTCAAGTTGTGAAGGTTTCTGCGGGTAATTGTTTTCTGCTTGGAGGGATAGGTGTTTGAAGATGAGGAGACTGATGGTGATGAGATTGTGATCAGACAGAGGAAAGGGGGTGTTTGTGAGGTTGTAGGGAGTGCAAAGATGGGAGAAAACAAGGTCTAATGTATTTCCATCAGAGTGAGTGGAGGACTGTATACATTGTGCTAATGCAAAAGATGAGGTTATGTGGA